ATATATATATATATATATATATATATATATATATATATATATATATATATATATTGCTTTTTTTAAAGTACCGTACTTTTATTCTGTAAGGAGCCAAAAGTTAACACAGCATTGAGCGGCATACAAATTTAATCAATAAATACAGTAATCAACATATATTTTAAAATAAAAACAATATATGCATAATTGCATGAATCAACAATATATTTCAATGAGTTATACAGTCATGCATTCACAACACAAAATGTTTGGAAGAAAAAAAAACCCCATTACATTTAACAAAGTCTACAAAGTACTAGCATGACTTTATATCTGAAAAGCTATTGATAAAATTCAGCATGACAAACGTTTTTCCATTTTCACCCAAATTTCCACTGGTGGAGGAAACAAAACAGCGGACTTTCCCCCCTCCCCCCCCACACACACTGTTTCAACATTTTTAGAAATGTGACTTTCCTATATAAAAAAAATACTGTGTATTGAAAAAAAGTTGTACGAAAAGAGTGTATTAAAAATAAGTATTGAAAAAAGGTGTCAAATTAACGTTCAGGAGATTCTCTCAAACTGATATCCTGCTTTCTCTGGACAAGTACTTACCAGAAATATCCCCACAAACACTCCGGCTTCAAATTTCCCTGGAAGATGGTTGCAATACACCACACTGCCAGTAGGGGTGCTGCTTTCCATCTTGAAAAAGACCCGGTCTCCAACCGTTAGCCCTGGGGACGACAAGGGATCTCCTGTTGTAAGCTGGACTCTTGTACACTCCCGGATGCCTCCTCTTCGAGGTGCTGATGGACTACCCTCCACCGATTTGTCAGGCTCAATCCGGCTGATGGGTACAAAGACGCCACAGTTCTCACGGCAGGAGAAGAACTTCTGGCCTTTGAAGGAGCCATCTGTAAAACCCTTCCCGGCGGCTGAGCCCTATAAAAGAGGACAATGGCTCTTCCAGAAAGATACTCTATTCCTCATCTCACTCTCCATCTCTCTAGCCTCCAAACAACCCTGGTGGGAGTAGATTTAGCCGAGAAATTGCGCATCTCCCAAGGTTAACCACTGAATTCTGGTGGTCCAATGAGGATAAGAACCTTTTTGATCCATGTGAGCCCAAACTCTTGGCCAGTGTTTCTTGATGTCAGGAAGCTTAAGATGTGTGGACAATTCCCTACTGGCTGGGGAATTCTGGGAGTTAGAGTCCACACACCTGCCGTAAAGAAGAGGGGGTCAACCTATTCTCCAAAGCACTTGAAGGCAGGACAAGAAGCAATGGGTGGAAACTAATCAAGGAGAGAAGCAACCTAGAACTAAGGAGAAATTTCCTGACAGTGGAACAATTAACCAGTGGAACAACTTGCCTCCAGAAGATGTGGATGCCCCATCACTGGAGGTTTTTAAGTAGAGATTGGAGCAGGGGATTGGACTAGAAGACCTCCAAGGTCCCTTCCAACTTCTCTTATTCTGTAGTACTCACCACCAGCTCCACCCCAAAGATGATGCTGGTATCTTGCTTGCTCTTGTCTATGGGTCCTCGGTATCGGATAATGCCTGGAACTTTCTGCCCAGAAGCAGAGGTGATCTGGACCCTCACTCGGTCACCCTTCCCCAGGGCACTGAGTTTATCCATCAACCGCCCCTGCTTAAAGAGTGCCAGACGTTCGTCTCCGTGGGTCACAGCTTCCAGCAAACCAGACTGGGCTCCGCTCAGTTCTCTGGCCATCAGTGGTGGTACCCGGACCAACTTTTCTGCATCCAAGACCTTGGCCCAAAATGTTCCATCAGGGGAGACCCCACGGGCATCTTCCTGGCTTAGTAAAGTACCCCTGGATATCTTGACGTCTCCGCCTGCTCTGGCTTCCCCTGTGAAATCTTTCACAGCTATGTAGAGTCGCCGTGGCTTCATTGCCTTTGTGTGGTGATAATGACAAAGGAGAGATACCCCAATCACCTGCCGGGAAAAAAAAAAAGGAAGTGAAGCCGTCCGGGTATCAATAGAAGAGAACTGTCACACTCGAAGAAACCTCATGCTGCTTCAGCCATTTCTGTTCCTTGCCTTGCCTACAGATCCAGGGGGAGAAGGGAAAGGATGGAATGTGCATTGCAGGTGCTGAGCTGCTAAGCCTGAGAACCAAGGTCATTCCAAATTTTGTTTACTGAGAACTGAAGACATTCTCTCATAATAACTCCCTGACTTATAATTGTGACCTGCACAAATAAGGGGAGGGAGGTTTCTATACTTTTAATATAGCAATTGAGGCATGAAATAACCAGAGCTGGTTTTCCTTTCAACTGTGCCAAAATGATTTACCCAATAAAGTTTTGCATTAGAGATTTGATAGTCTCAGCTGTGCTTACTTCGCTGGGATCATCAGTCGGAACCTTGACAAGAACATCTGTAGGTTGAAGTATGGGGTCCTGGGTGTTTTCTTGGCTTGGTTGTTTTCTTGCAGACGTTTCACTATCCAGCTAGGTAACATCATCAGTGCTAGAAGTTCTACTCCTTTCTAGCACTGATGATGTTAGTTGCGTAATGAAATGTCTGCAAGAAAACACCCAAGCTCAGAGAGCACCAAAGTCCCTGCGATTTAGATTAATTTATTTAGTTTGCATCTACAGTTTAAAAAAAAGCCCCTCTCTCAGTTTCTGAAACTGAAATACTGTCATCACAAAAGGCCCAAAAAATAGCCACAGTGAACATCACAATCAGACTGATTAGGATGCAATTGAGACAGATTTGCAACTAGCTTAGGGATTTGCCTCTTGTAGCCCTGATCTCATTAATATGCTACTGTGCTTCCAATTTTATGATAAAACCTATTGCTTGTTTTTCACACCAGTCTAAATGAATTCCCCGCTGAAATCCTAAATGTCATTACTTTTCATAGGTAAGAAAGATGTCACTTCTAAAAGTGGCCAAGTTTCAGAGCTTGTACTATTAGGAAATAGATGAATTTTGACAACCATTGTTCAATCTGTTTAGAAAACCATGTACTGTATGTACATTTCTCTCTTATCTATTAGTTTTTATTTTATATTATTCAGTTTTTAAAAAAGGAAAACTGGACCAAAAAAAACCAAAAAACAAAACCCCACCTCGCTAAAGAATTAAGCCCAATCTATTAGTTTTTTCCTTCCTCACTTTCCCTCTGCAGAATGTGCCAATTTCAAAACTGAGCCTTGTAAATTCTGTCTTTGAAGAGCCATATCTCTAAAGTGTCCTGACTGTACTTTCATTCTAGGTCAAATTGCTTTTAAAAGACTTTGCTGAACTGGTCCTCTGACAACCCTGGAAATTGACTTATTTAAAACCGGCCCATGCAGTTTAATTTTCAGATAAGGTGGCAGAATTAAGGCCTTCTTGGAAAGCACCGAGTTGCAATCTCCGCATCCTTCCCCACGTTATAGCAGACCAGGATCCGCGGGCCTATAGGTCGTGAGAATGCGTGCAACCGAGCAAGAGACACCGCCATAAACTCCCCAATATTCCTCCTTCGTCCGACACTCGGGAAAACTCACCTGGAACCGCAGCGGATCAAAACTTTCTTGAACTACTTACACGGAGGAAGATGATCACCTTAACAGCCGCCCAGACGAGGAAAGCGAACTTCAGGAAGTTGCTGAAAGTTTTTTTTAAAGGGGCGGAAGTCGGGAACCAATGAAAAGCCAGGTGAAGGGAAAGGGAGCCAATCAAAGCGGAGAAACGGTGCGTGTGTGTGTGTATGTTTGTGTGCCCGATTGGGGAAGAGGTCGAAACAACAGGAGTTCCCCGGCTTTACTTCCCCCCCTCCCCACACACACACCTTATTGAATCATTTTGGGGGAAATCGCATTTTCAGATTCAGATGTAAATAGCGACCTGGCCAGGGAAGGAGGCAAGGGTAATAATGGAATTAATTCGGTTTAGATGCCCCATCGAACACTTGCCAACTTTCTTCCTGTCCTCGACCGAGCGACGCGCCTGGAGATCTGCAGTCATTAGCGCGTAAGCGTGGTTGGGTTCCCAGGACACGTTTGCCCGTCACTCCCTCGATTCTTTCCAATTTCGGGCACGGCCAGGCTGAATCGCCTGGAGCTAAGGCCGGCTTGTCCAGGGTGCAGGGGGAGGGATACGCAGAGCAAATCTCCGAAAAGGGAGAAGGCAAGAAAACGTATTTGGCCGTCACCTCCCTCCCCCCTTGATCATTGCTTGGGAGTTTTCAGGATGTTTCTTTCGTCCCCCCCCCTCCTTCTCTCTCTCTCTCTCTCTCTCTCTCTCTTTTCCAGCATCCGGATAGAAAGGCTGGGCTTTGCGTAGCTAACAGAACACCATTCCCACGTGCACGAAAGGGAAGTAGAGGCAGTCTCAGGGAAACCCCGCCGTTTGTCGAAGGGAGGGGGAAGGAGAGTCAGGGAAATCCCCTTCCAGCAGCCACGTGAAAGGAGCAAGGCAAATGGATGGATATCTCAGGGGTTGCCACAAAGAAGAGCGAGCCAAGCTATTCTCCAAGGCGCCTGAAGGCAGGACAAGAAGCAACGGATGGAAACTCATCAAGGAGAGAGAAGCAACCTAGAACTAAGGAGAAACTTCCTGACAGTTGGAACAATTAATCAGTAGAACCACTTGCCTGCAGAAGTTGTGAATGCTCCAACACTGGAGGTTTTTAAGAGATTGGACAACCATTTGTCTGAAATGGTATAGGATTTCCTGTCTAAGCAGGGGGTTGGACTAGACTAGAAGACCTCCAAGGTATCCTATCCTATCCTATCCTATCCTAGTCTAGTCTAGTCTAGTCTAGTCTAGTCCAGTCCAGTCCAGTCCAGTCTAGTCCAGTCCAGTCCAGTCCAGTCCGTGGAGTCCATGAAGGGGGCTAGGATGGAAGCCCATGTACAGCAACAGCAAATATATAGAAAAACTTGATAGATGCCATGCAAGGTGTGAATCCTATTCAGTTTTCCAGCACTGGTGGGTGGCATGGGGATGGGGGGGTAGATCCTACCCAACACAAAAATTTGCAGGTTTCGATGCCACCCACCAGTGCTGGAAAACTGAATAGGATTCGCACCTTGGTCCATTTTCATGAACCAACAGGTTAAGTGAATCATTTCAGTGGGTAAGTTAGTGTTAGGGGGTGAAGGTTTGTTCTCTGAGCTTGTGGGTTGGTTTCCAAACGTTTCGTTATGAGGCAAGGCAACATCTTCAGCGGAGTTTAGGGGATGTCAGTGTTCTTCTATTTATAAGGGTGGATGTCTCAAGTGAGGGTCTTGTGATATAGGTCAGGCGTGAGTCATCAGTGAGAGCCTTGTGATGGGTCTTGTGAATGGGTGGTTACATCAGGTCAGGGACATTGGGAGGTGAACTGGTAGGGGGGAGGGTTGCTAAGTAACAGTGTTGCTAAGTGAATCTGGGTTCCCCGTTGACTTTGCTTATCAGAAGTTCACAAAAGGTGATCACATGACCCCGGGAGACTGAAACTGTCATAAATGTGAACCAGTTGCCAAATTTTGATCACGTGACCACAGAGATGCTGCAACAGAGGTAAATGTGAAAATTAATCATAAGTTTTTTCAGTGCCTTTGTAACTTTGAACCGTCATTAAACAAACTGTTGTAAGTAAAGGACTATCTATATATAATTTTTTTAAATTCCTTATGCCTTACAATATTGACTACATATTTCCATCATACATATACCCTTAGGCCCAGTATTCTTCAAATCTTCATAAATGACTTAGATGAAGGAATAAAAGGGGAACTCATCAAATTTGCAGATGACACTAAGCTGTCAGAAATAACCAACACCCCAGAAGACAAGCTCAGGATCCAAAAAGATCTTGACAGACTTGAACAATGGGCCCAACCAACAACATGAAATTTAATGTGGAGAAAAGCAAGGTTTTACCTTTAGGCAGGAAAAACCAAAACTATGAGTACAGATTAGGTGAAACCTGGCTCAAAAACAGTAACTGTGAGAGGGACCTTGGAGTTCTAGTGGAGGATCACTTAAACATGAGCCAGCAGTGTGTGCCAGCAGCCAAAAAAGTTAAAACAATCCTTGGTAGTATTAACCAATGCATAGAATCTAAATCACGTGAAGTATTAGTACCTCTTTATAAATCCTTAGTAAGACCATACCTGGAATATTGCATCCAGTTTTGGTCACCACATTACAAAAAAGGTGTTGAGACTTTGGAAAAAAAGTGCAAAGAAGAGCAACTAAGATGATTACAGTCTGGAGACAAAAACATCTGAAGAATGGTTACAGGAATTGGGCATGGCCAGTCTAGAGAAAAGAAGGACTAGTGGGGTGACATGATAGCAGTATTCCAGTATTTGAGGGGCTGCCACAAAGAAGAGGGGGGTCAACTTATTTTCCAAAGCATCAGAAGGCAAGAGAAGAAAAAATGGATGGAAGCGGGAGAAATAAAGTAAAATAAGGATTGTAACAGGATCGAAGATAAGGCAATCCAAATGACTGAAAAGAAAAGAAATGTACTAATATGATGATTATTTTTTAAAAATATTGGAAAAAATATATACTAAATTGTCATTTATCAAAACAATAAGAATTGTATTAACTCAATGTTTGCAAAAAAGGATGTTTCGGGGAAAGAGGAAATCAACCAAAATTAATATATGGAATACAGACTATAGAAATCAATTGTTAAGGAGTGTTTTTACAAATGTAACCCAGACAACACACTGTTTACCAATTATTGAGTGACGTATGCTTGTAAAAAAATATAATACAAAAAAAGAAAAAGAAAAAATGGATGGAAACTAATCAAGGAGAGAAGCAACTTAGAACTAAGGAGAAACATTCTGACAGAATAATCAATCAATGGAACAGCTTGCCTTCAGAAGTTGTGGGTGCTTCATCACTGAAGGCTTTCAAGAAGAGATTGGACAGCCACTTGTCAGAAAGGC